TGAAAGTTGTCAGTGTTTAAGGTACATGTTGGCAGGAGAACTTAAAACCATGGCAGTGCTTGATGGAATAGCTTAGGGAGTCTGGAGAGAAAGAACAGGACCTCTGAGATCGAAGTCACCTGGAAGGGTTCAGTCAACACTGTCATTGTCTCCTCCTGGTTATTAAGTCTTCCTGCAGTCTTTTACCTTCTGGGCAAAATAAGTCTTTAGCTGTCACTCCTGGTCCCATTTTCCCTAGCCTTTTAAGTTTTACTCTACTGATCCTTTGGATCAGCCACATAGTCTTTAATCCGAGAAAATGTGAAAACCCTGAACAAACACGTACCTATGGTAAAGTATATGACAGCAGTGGCCCAGATGACCTCAACACAGCAGCTAGAGTTGCTCTCTGACTTTCTACTTACAGACCACTAGGGATGGAGGTGGAAAAGGAGGTAGAAAAAGAGGCAGTTTAGGGCCAAGGTCTAAAGTGGTGCTGACCAATATGGGAGCCACTGGCCATATGTGTCTATTTAAATTTAATTAAACTTAAATAAAAATTCAGTTCCTCAACTGCACTAGCCACACGTTCAGGTGTTCAATAACCACATGTGGCTAGCGGCTAATGTATTGGAAACTGCAGATAAAGGACATTTCCATCATCACAGAAAGTTTTATTGGACAGAGCTGCAAAGCACTTCCTTCTGGACTTTTTTGAAGGCCCACAAAGGCTTTCTGAAGAGTGCACATGGAGGAGAAACTGAAAGGAGGACGGGGAGGGTTGGGCAATAGCAAACTACTCTAGGTATAGAAGCGAAGGAGTCATGAAGGAGGAGGGCACAGAGAGTAAGAAAAACCAGTCGGAGAATCTGAAGAAATACAATGGTGAAACCAATCCTTTTTGCTGGGTAGAAACTTCGTGGAGAAGTAGGAAAGCCACATAAAATTCAGTTGTGTTGTCTTTAGAGTAGACAAGCCTGAAGAGAGAGAAAAAAAATTCAGTTGTGATGTTCGAACCATAAAAGACAGACAGTTACCACCAGGACATCAGTAGTTAATGAGAAGATCTCAAGTTAGATAGAGGCAAGCCAGCATCCTGGCAGCACGGTGTGTTTTCCCAGCCTACTTAAAAAAAGAAGGTTGAGCAGGCCCTGAGATCAATGGGCTTGAAATTCATGATTTATTGAGCTCTTCCTCTTTTGTGCCTGGCATTGTGCTAGGTCCTGTGCCACAGGAGGAGACATCAGTAAGGGTGGAAGACCACGGATGGTGGTTTGGTGTTAGGAACAATGTATGGATAAGGGTTTGCAGAGTCAGGAGAGATCAGGGAGGCATTCCAGAAAAGGAGTGCCCATGGAGATGAGACAGTGTGCCGTCTGGTTTGACTGGTGGAAAGAGAGTCCTGGATACATGTTCCTTATCAAGTTGTTCTTTTTTTTTTTTTTTTTTTGAGACAGAGTCTCACTCTGACACCCTAGCTAGAGTGCAGTGGCGTCATCTTATACACACTAAATTCTCTCCCTCTGTTCCTTGAGGACAGGGACCATGTCTTTTTCACTCAGCTTTGTGTCCATCAATAAATAGCACAGTACCTAACACCTAGTAGGAGTTCAGTAAAAGTCTGTTGAAATGCAAGAGTTCAAGCTTGATACGGAGGACAAAAAGAAAATGTAATTTTTTTTTTAGTTTAAATCAACTTAGATGTGAGTAGGATATGATGATGGATAGGACTCACTAGACCAGTAGTCATGACGTAAGTAAGGCACATGTGTGTAGTGCGGCACATGAGGAATGTACCTCAGTTTTGTTATGAAGATGATTTCTTATTTTCTTAACACTCCTGGGGGGTAACATACTCGAAAAGAATATGATTAAAGGTAGGATCGTTTAGATCCCTCTCCAGGAGTCCATGTGCTCTCACCTCTCCAGTGACTTGAGTTTTGAAAATATTAAAAAATTTTTCAAAAGCAAAGGAAAAATGGGAGATAGAAAATGAGATCGTGGGAGTGGAATGGGGTAAAAAAGTAAAAGAGGAGTGGAGATGGCCCCACTCTCAGGTTTCTGTCAATAACTAGACCTTCCTTAGTGCTTAACCTACGGGATAAATAGGCACACTGGAAAAATCCAGGAAGCTGGAGAGGGGAAGAATTCTCTAAGAATGAGATGGAAATAATTAGAATTGAACACCTCTCCCACACAGCAGCAAAGTAAATTTCTAGGATGTCAGGCCAGAAGTCATTGTTTCCAGGGGGCTCAGGTCTGCCTTGTTTTCACCTGGTCTCCTTTTTCCCACCTTCAGAAAATGTGTAAGAAGCACAAGTTTCCCCATTCAACTGGTGGGAGAAGTTCTCAATTGGACTGTAGAGGAAGAGAATTCTAGGAATAGGCAAGCCTCCACAAAGCCTCAGAAATAGTTCTACTGAAAGGTGCAAACACAGGCATCTAACACCACTGGCCCCAGGGGCCCTGAGACTAGCCCCCAAACTGTAGGGGCAGGCTCTCAGCATCCCACTCACTCCACAGGCATCCCTGGTCTCACTTCCAGCTTCTTTTCCATGAAGCCAAGACTTCAGGAGACTGATCTGTTGTCCAACCAGATAGGGAAGGCTAAGGGATGCTTCCCCCATGCAGGAAAGAAATTCGATCCAGGCCTCCAGCTTCCTAGATCTTTTCCCTGGGGTCTCTACGGACCCTAGTGTCCAAGTTCTTAGATTCTGAAGGCGCTCCCTTGGGCCTTGGGGCAGGATTCCCACTCTCTGCTTCTCCATCTCCCTGGAATTTTCCACTGCAGCTGCCTCCGCTCCCAGACACCCCTCCCTGGGCAAAATTCCCGGCTCCCTCCGCCTCCCCTTCCCTAATCACACCTCATTCCCACCCCCAGCCCTGAAGCCCAGCCCACAGTCCAGCCCACAGCCCACACTAACCCCGGTGGTGCCAGTTAGAGAAATGGGAGGCCAGGCTCCTTATAGAAGGGTAAGAGGGAGGGTCCCAGTCTCTCTTCAGGCCATGGAGAAGGGACAGTGGCGGGGCTGGTCCCCCGTGGGCCTGGAGTTGGGGGAGTGGCCCTCCTCACATCCCCATATAAGGCAGGGCAAGAAGTTAGGCTTCTGGATTGGTTGATTCAAATGAGCATTCCACCTGGCAACAGGGTTTCTATTGGCTCTCAGGAAAAATAGGAGGAAGGTGGATGGAGGTTGTTGGTGGCGGTGATTGGAGGGGGGAGGGGAGTGGAGGTGACCGGAGTGGGGGGCGGTTACCAGGGCAACAGGGTAAGAGCCCAGCAGGGTGTCCGAGACAGCAGGCGGGGCTGGGAGGTGGAGAACTGGGTAGAGGAAAGGACAGCGGGAGGGAGAGGAAATTTAAGCCTGACCCGCCCGGAGGGAGCGAGACTGGGAGACTTGGGGGGGGGGCCTAACGAAGGAGCCAGAGGGAGATAAATGAGGCAAGAGAGGAGGACAGAGATGGAGACAGTGAGAGACGGCTAAAGACATCAGCCAGTGAGTCAGAGAAACAGCTTGAGAGAGGGAAATGGAAAGATCTCAGAGAAAAGATGGACAGAGTCCGGCAAGGAAAAAACCTGGGTCGGAACCCAAGATTTTTGAGGAAACCAAGACTGAGAAACTGATAGTAGAGTCAGAGAAATTGGGAGGTGTGTACACCAAGGAATCAAAAGATGGTATATTTAACACTCAAAAACAAAATAATGGTAGTGATCAATGAACGTGTTTCTTTTTATTAAGAAAATGAAAATTATAAAAAAGATGAAGAATAATGATAATGACAAATTTGGGAGTGTACACACACCACAGATACCTTTTTCCCAGCCCCAGCCTTCCACCCCAGTCACTTTCCTGACCTTTAATCCACACTCCAGCCCTGTTCCCTCCTGAAATCCCAAGCTTCTCAAAATGACTCCAAGATTCGGAGGTGGAGGGCAAGGAATTGAGGGTGTGTGGAATAGGGTGGGGCTGGAACTCCAGACCTGGACCTGTGTTATATTTGCAAAGAAGGCAAAAATAATCCAGAAAGGCTGGGGAAGATGGCAGCAGAGGAAAGAGAAAAGCAAAGAGAGGGAAACTGTAAAAAAAAATGAGGACATCAAGAGGAGTTGAGGAGCACCAGCTAAGAATATAGGGCCAGGTGACTGACTCAGATAAGACAAGAACAGTGTTGTCCCGGAGAGATAGGGAAAGAGACCCGAGGTGGAAACCGGAGAAGAGGGTGTAGGAGAAGTGATAGAAGAATGAGAGAGATGCGAGATATAAATGGTTGTGAGGGAGGGGTCTGGGTAAGAGGACTGAGGAGGGAAGAAGAGAAATAGAAGGACAGGCAAATAAAAGTGAGGTGCGATAGGCGAATAAGAAAGGTCGAAGGTGGGGAGAGGTGGAAGAGAACCAAAGGAGACCAGGGGGCCTCTGACTACCCTCCCATCCCAGCAAAGAGCCAGGAAGGGAGAAACCCAGCAAGGGTCACAAATGTCAGTCTCGGTAGGAGTGAAGCTCGGCTGCCCTTTCTGCCCTCCCATCCCTTCTCGAGGCCACCCAGAGACTGGATGGAGGATGAGAGGGGAGATCCGGCGTGATGTGGAAGTAGCTCCCCAACCCTCTTCCTCTTCTTTAAGCTTTTGGTTTCCCAAATACCTGCCCTGCCTTTCCATCTGCTACCCCGCCCCACCACTTGGCAAAATCTCAGCGGTTTTTTTGGGGTCAGTAGGATTCTGGCCGCCTCTCCGGTCCGCCCCCGAAAGACAGACTCCACATTCGCAGGCAGTAGGTTAGGCTTAGGAGAGGTGCCTCTGCGCAGGAACCCCACCCCTTCCCACCTCCTCGCCCCACTCCTCTTTCTCCGCGGCCGTCAGTCTCTCCATTTCCCCCTCCCGGTCTTGTCCTCCCGCCCGACTCTCGCTCTCCCTCCCCTCGCTTTCATCCTCCTATCCCCACCTCTCCAACCTCCTCTTTCATCCCCCTCCCCTCTCCTCTCCTCCCCGCTCCCGCCTGCCCCACCCCTGGGAAGCCCCTCCCGTCGGACAGCGCCGCCTTATAAGCGGGTTCCCTTCCCGGGGGCGGCAGCGGCTGGTCGGCGGCAGCTCTGCTGGTGCGGGGGCGGCGAGCCCGGGACCGAACGACCGCGGCCGAGCGAGCCGGCCACCGCCTGCACCGCCCTTCCGCCCGCTCTCCGGACGGCTGCAGCCCTGCGGGTCTCCGCTCCAGACCCACCCCCGCCCCACCCCGCGCGCCTCAGCCGCCTCTTCCAGAGACCCAGCTGCCGAGCGGCCGCCGCCGCCGCCGCCACCGCCACCGCGCCAGGTTCCGGCCGCAGCCACCCTCCACCGTCCAGGGCCCCTCCGTCTCGGCCCCGGGACCTCGGCTCCCCGCCAGCCCCGGCCCCGGCACCATGTCGGAGAAAAGCGTGGAGGCAGCGGCCGAGTTGAGCGCCAAGGTACGGGCGGGGGCGGCGGGGGCCGGACCCCGCGCAGCCCCGGAACCCGCCGCGGTCCTCCGCCCCAGGCCGCCCCGACTGCCCCGCGCGGCCCTCGCGCCCCGGTCCCGGCGGACCCCACTCCGCCCTCCCCCCGCTCCCCAGCCTGGCGCTGCCTACCCGGCTTCGCGCGGCTCCCGCCAGCGCCCTCTAGCTTCCCTGCGCGCACCGCGCCGCGGCGCCCGGCCTCGCCGCTCCGGTCGCCGCCCGGCCCCCGCCGCGGTCCCCACCCCGCCCGGCCCCACCTCGCCCGCCTCTATCCCGGCCGCTTTCCCGTCGGAGCGCTCCGCGTCTCACTTTACGGGCCCCCTCCCCGCGCCCCGTTCCCCTGTCTCGACTTCCAGTCTGACCTCACCTTTCCTCTGCTAAGCGGTTTGAGATCCTCAAGTGTAAACAGGACTCTCCCGGGAGGCTACTCCTCTCGGCCCCTCCCCTCGCGGCCCGATCGTCTCTTGCTTCTCTCCCCGGACGGCTACTGCTCCTCTTTTCTCATTCCCTTCTTTCGGTCCATCTACATCCATTTCCTCTCCTCTGCTGGCTTTCAGCTCTCCTTTCTCTTCATCGCCACCCCCCCACACACACACACACATACACATTTAAAGAATCTCGAATTCCTAAAAATCACAAGAGGGGGGCGGGTTCAGCCTTAGGAAAAGCTGAGCCTGGGCATTGCCTGGCATTGCATGGAGCTGTCCTTGCCCTCGTCAGCTCTGTTCCTGGGCCCCATCCCTTCGCCCTTGCCTCTCTTCTTCCAGCCTTCCTCTAATTTCCCTAGGGAACCTGCAGAGTGTCGCTTTGGGAAATTAATGCGGCCAGGGTTTGGGGGCTGGGAGCCCGATCTTGTGTGTGTGTGTGGGGGGGTGCTGAGGAGCCGTCACACGGGTCTCCCGGAGGCCTGCGAAGTGAAAGCGGGGAGCCAATGGGATCAAAGGCAGTGGGAGAAGGGATGTGTGTGAGATCCGGCAAGGTGTGCCTGTGTGTCCCTCCGGTGGGCTGTGCGGTGGCATGTGACTTCACTGAGTAGGTGTCTTTGTATGTCTGAAATCCAGCGAGCGTGTGGGACTGCCCGTGTCAGTTACATGTGTGCATGTGGAGATGTAGATGTTCTGGAGCCATGTTGTCATTTTGTGAGTGCTGAGTGGCTCCACTGTGCTCTTGTGCTGTCTCAAGAGTGTGTACCAGAATGGCCAAACACCGGGCCATGTGTCTCCAATCGCGCGGGTGCTCCTCTGTAGCTGTCTGTGTGAATTGGTGTCAGCCTGTGTCAGTGCATGTGCCTGTGTTGAGTAAATGAGGCCAGAGGGCTGCTTAGCACAAGACCCAGAGCCTAGGTCACATACCCTCCTGGAAAAGGGATCATGGAAGGACAGTGACCAGAAGGACAGAACAGGGGAGGAGAGGGCCCGGCCCCTTGGACTTTGGTCCCTGGTGTTTTCCCTCCCTCCCTCCCTGCAACAGCCCAGATGGGAAACTCAGGCCATACAAACCTGGTGCTGGGGCCCCCAGAAAAGCTGACAAGCCCCTGGCTCTCCTGGCCCAGGATGTAGGGAAAGGCCCACCAGGTGGTAGAAATGCCATACCAACCTTGTGGCCAAGAAATGAAGACAGTGCGGTAAGATGAAAAAGAAACGTAGCAGGGGCGAGAGAGTGAAGTGTTCTGTGCTCCCTTTAAAGGGAGAAGGGAATTGAGTGCCCTCCCTCACTAGGCCTGCCATTTTGCACCAAGTCCCTCTCCTATCCCCGATCCCGTTCTAGAAAGGACACCCCCCTACTCAAACAAAACTTTCATCTGCGTGGAATCAGATACACAGAGTTGCACACCAACGCCAGATCCGATCACACAAGGACACCTACAGTGCTGCTCTGTGCCTGCCAAGGGATGGGATGGGGGGAGGACGGGAATCTGAATTGGAAGGCTGGTGTGGTGGTGTCCAGAGAGGGCTCTCATATGGGCATCTCCCTTTGCCATATCAGAATAGGAGGACATCAAGGGCATGCCTGCTGGGATCCTGGGGTGAAGGAGATAAGGGGTAGTGTGGCAGGAAGGTCCTCTAGACAGGTGCCTCCCCCATCTACATTCCCATCCCACCCCAGAGACAGACCCTGTGTGTTGCTCTCTTCATCTACCATGTCTGATACTCTTTCCCTTCCATGTTCCCTTTTTCCTACTTTACCTTCATTTCACTGGAAATGGCTACTTTTACTCCACTACACGAATGCATGTACCACAGGAGGTAGGGAGGAAGAAACTACTTGAACTGTTTTAGGGTTGGGAAGGGGGTGCCGGGAATATGCGAAGGTGCTCTCCCTATCCTGTAGTATTTGTCCAAGTGGAGCATGAGGATTAGGGAGACACAGACCAGGAGAAACAAAGGCCCTAGAAGCTGAAGGGGAAGCTGGGAGGGATGCCCAGGAGAGAGAGTACTCAGGAAAAGGCCCCAGAGGTAGACAAAAGGCAGAGCTGGCTGGTGGGCACTGGGCAGTGGGGGGGCAGGTGGAGGGACATGGAGAGGGGGTGGGGCACTGAGCTGCCAGCAGATGGAAGGGATTTGCTTTGCTGAGCTGAACTCTTCAGCCAGTGAGGTTTGGGAGAACTTGGAGGGGGTGGGGATCAGTTCTCCCCTGCTGCTGCTCCTCTTTCTTATCACTTCCCCACCTTGCTTGGGTCTTGGGGAAGGTGTGTCTAGTCTCAGCCCCTTTGTGGCCCTAATGTAAGGACCCTGACACCTCTGTTCTGTCTCTAAGCTGTGGCCACCTTCTCTGTTTCACACTCCTCGAAGCTCACTGCAGTGAGGGAGAACCGGGCTGAGGGGACGTAAGAGCCACACACCTTTTGTGGTGAGAGAAAAGGTGACCTCTTTCTCCCTTACAGGACCTGAAGGAGAAGAAGGAGAAGGTGGAGGAAAAGGCAAGCCGGAAAGAGCGGAAGAAAGAAGTGGTGGAGGTGTGGAGGGGTCGGGGGGAGAGGATCCCACCTGCCCTAGCAGTTTCCCCTCCAGTTACCTTCGGGGGGCCTGGGCCCTGCCTCCCTGAGCCCTGCCGTCCTCACAGCCCGACCCTGGGGCCCTCCCAAGTCCTCTGGTGGTGTTGCCAGGGAGCTGCAGCCTGAGGGCGCTTCTTCTCCTGGTCCCCACAGGAGGAGGAGAACGGAGCTGAGGAGGAAGAAGAAGAAACTGCCGAGGATGGAGAGGAGGAGGATGAAGGGGAGGAAGAAGGTGGGGAGGGGCAGGGAGGCCGGGCTGGAAAAGTACAGGCTTAAAGGCTCAGAGTCAGGGTGGGTTCAAAGACCAGAAGCCGGGCTGAGGGCAACCACAGGGGGTCTCTGCAGGAGCTTCCTGCCCTTCCCCAATCACCCATTTCTGGCTCCTCAGATGAGGAAGAAGAAGAAGAGGATGACGAAGGGCCCGCGCTGAAGAGAGCTGCTGAAGAGGAGGTTTGGGCTGGGTTGCGGGGCCTGAGGGGCTGTCAGGGATGCAGCAGGGGCCGGGAGCCCTTTGGATTTGGACCCAGATCCCTGTGGTGGCACTGGGTGGTGGCTGGCAGGGGCGCGACAGGGGACAGTCTCCTCCCCATTTTATACTACCCTACTGTTTTCCTCTCCACAGGATGAAGCGGATCCCAAGCGGCAGAAGACAGAAAATGGGGCATCGGCATGAGCCCCCTGCCAACGGGCTGGGGGTGGGAGGCCCCTCAGGGCCTGGAGGTGGGGGTGGGAACAGACAAGTGCAGCCACTCTTCACCTGGCTCCTGCCCTGGGCCCTCACCAGAGGTGCCACCCTCTTCTTCCTCCCCAGCCTTCTCATTTCTGCCTCTCCACCCTCACTCTGCCGTCGTCCACCTCCTGACCTGCTCCATCTGACTCCCCAGCTGGTCCCTGTTGCTCCTCTCTCTCTTTTGCTCTCTTCCCCCCTCCCCCACCAGTCCCACCCCTCCTCCAGAGGCCTCCCCCCTAACCTCTGCATCCCCCAGCCTCATGCCCTGCCCCATCCTCTCCTGCCTGATCCCGGGTCTCCCTCAGATCCCCTCCTCTCAGACAGCGCCAGGCCGGGGTAGGGCCGGGGTTGGGGCCGAGCCCCACAGCTGCCCCCCTCCCCTCCCCTTTTTGTATAATTTAATAAAGAAACGGTCGCGCTTCTGTTTTTAACCTGTCTCCTGCTTTCCCGGGGTCCAGTCAGTGCAAATAAAGGGTAGAGAGGGAGGAGGGTGGCTGACCTTACACTCTGTCAGGACCCTTCCCATTGGAACAAAAGTAGCAGCACACTACCACCGGTGACTCCACGAAAACACGATCAGTCCTCCAGGGGTGCACCAGAGCCCAGCTCTTCTTCTGAAAGCTGACTTATGTCCTGTTTTGGATTCTTGGGGATGCTCCTCCCCAGCAATACACACTTCCCTGCTAACCCACACAAGACCTAGACACTGCTGAGCCCAGTGGAAAGCCACCAGCTCTATTGTGCTGAACCAGGCACACAGAAACAGGAAGTCCCGCCCCTGGACTGGGAGAGGGCTTATAGGCCTGGGTCTCAGCCTCCTGGGATGCCCTCTGTCTGGCAAGGAGGAGGTGAGCTCCAGTCATGGTCATGTAGGGGAGAACTCCAGGGCTTGTTGTGATTCTCGGGTCTGTTGCATGTTCTTGTCACCTTCCCTCCAAACCTCCCAGGGTGCCTGGTCTGGGCTGGGGCAAGAGTTATCTGCCTCTGTCAGTCTCAGGCTTCCTTCCCTAGTCCCTCTGCTTCAGTTTTTCTTGAATTCAATTTGCATTGCAGGATTCCTGCATTTCTCCATCTACATATGACCCTTGTCCTATCCTCTTAGTTCAGAACCTCTGGATTGGGGGAAGCACAGGGGTCTGAGCTGGGAGGGAGTGGGGTTGACTCACTGACAATACCATTCTTCCCAGGAGACACCTGAGACTCATACAAGGTCAGGACTACACACACACACACACACACACACACAGTTTTTATCTTCACATTCCCTAACCTTGGCAAATTATTTCATCTCTTTGAGCCTCAGTTTCCTCACCTGTACAATGGAGGAAAATACTAGATTTCATGAGTTACTATATGTGAAGCCTCCAATACAGTGCCTAATGCATAATGAAGGCTCCATACAATATAGCTATTCTTCCCTCCCACCCACTTGGCATGCTCATCCCCAGACCTACCGTGTTTTAGGTTGCAGTGAAGCTTACTGTCCACCTTGTTACCTGGAGACGTTGTATGGATGGATGGGTCGGGGACAAGTCTGCAGGGCTGATGGAGTTCTGAGAGATTAAGGGCAGGAGATAAGTACCAAGGAAAGAGCGTGCTGAGAAAAAAGTGTGAATACCGACTGAGAGGCAGCTTAGAGATGGGCAAGAGGGTTGCTCCAGGAGAGCTGGTTGGTGGAGGAGGGCAGAAGGCACATGGATGGGGGAGGGGGCGGTGGGGAGACCCAGAGCTGAGGAAGTAAACAAGGGGAGCGCCACCACAGAGGTGGAGGGTGATGCTGCTGGGAATCAACCCCCTCAGACTTTCCACTGCGAAGCGAAACCGTGAGCCCTGGGGTGTGGGGGGCGGCGAAGAGGAGGGGAAGTGGGGAAGGTGGAAGGAAAGCAGAAGGACAGGGGCGAGGGCCCGGGAGCAGCAGAACAGCAGGCATCCCAGCTGACAGCCAACCTGACAGCCACTGTGCCTCCACTCTGCTCTCTGCCGCTGCCCTGCCCATTCCCTGGGACACCCCATCCCCACCAGGCTGCCTGGTCTGATCAGCTTTGCCCTGGATTCCAGCCTCTGATCATTGTCCCTCCCCACCCTCTCTCCTGGCCTCCCCCTGTCTCCCTTCCTCCACCTCCCTCTCTGCAGAACTTCTCTTTTGTTCCCCTCCTTCCTTTTCTGACCTCCTCATTTCGGAGGGCTCAGCGTGGCCCAGGCCATAGGAGAAATGTGGGAGGCTCAGTTCCTGGGCTTGCTGCTTCTGCAACTGCTGTGGGTGGCTCCAGGTAAGGTGGGGATGGTGGGAAGGATTGACCTCCAGACCTGTAGGAGGGGACAGCCGGGATCTCTCTATGGCCTCAAAGATCCTGAGGTCCTTAGTTGGCTGTGGTAGCATGCACCTGAGTCCCAGCTACTCAGGAGGCTGAGGCAGGAGGATGGCTTGAGCCCAGGCAGTGAGCTATGATGGTGCCACTGCACTCTAGCCTGGGCAACAGAGTGAGACTTTGTCTCTGAAAAAACAAAAACAAAAACAAAAAAACCCCCACCTCCTAAGGTCCTTAGCTCTGTGGTGGCTCCTTCTAACTCCTTTCCTGGGGGCAGTCCTTCCACCCCCAAAGCCTCTCTTGGGTTTCCTCCTTGTCAGAGAAGGGGTAGAAAACCAAGCTCTTCCTCCACCGTGTCCCTCTCTCAGGAAACACTCAGGCTCCTTCTCTAATCCTAAAGGCCCCTCCCCTTGGCCTCTCTTTTGCTCCCCCAGTGGAAGCTCCAGGGCCTGGGGCAGAGGTGCCGGTGGTGTGGGCACAGGAGGGGGCTCCTGCCCAGCTCCCCTGCAGCCCTACACCCCCCCTCCAGGATGTCAGCCTTCTGCGAAGAGGAGTGGTCACTTGGCATCATCAGCCAGACAGGTATGTGCCCCAAACTTGGGCAACAGGACCTCTGAATCCAGCACCAATGGCAACCAGACTCAACCCAACACCCAAGCCAGCCTTCTGTCCCCTACCCTCAGGTGTCAGTCCCTTTGAAGCCAGTGACTCAACCCCCCCAGAACCCTCCTGCCCTTCCTCCGCAGACTGCCCCCCACCTGCACCCCACGTATGCCCGACTCTCCGACTCTCCAGTAATGGATGGAGCGGGCCCCAAGCCAACCAGGGAGCGTCAGGGGCGAGGGGACGGTTGCGGGGTGGGTCAGGAGGTCTCCTGGGGAGGGCGTCCTCATCCTCAAAGGGTGGCTGACTGCATCTTCTGGGGCTCGTTCCCCCTGGAGCTTCTCAATTCCATTCTGTCTCCCGCGCAGCGGCCCGCCAGCCCCGGGCTCTCGCCCGGCAGCTCCCTCCAGCTACACGGTGCTGAGCGTGGCTCCCGGAGGCCTGCGCAGCGGGAGGCTGCCCCTGCAGCCCAGCGTCCAGCTGGAGGAGCGCGGCCTCCAGCGCGGGGACTTCTCCCTGTGGCTGCGCCCAGCGCGGCGCGCCGACGCCGGCGAGTACCGCGCCACCGTGCGCCTCGGGGACCGCGCCCTCGTCTGCCGCCTCCGTCTGCGCGTGGGCCAGGCCTCGAGTAGGTGGGGCGGGACGAGGGACGAGGGGCCAGGGGCTGGGAGGAGGGCCCGGTTCCCCGCCGCCCCGAGGCAGGAAGGGCTGGGACAGATGCTGCGAGAGCCCCCAGAGGGTAGAGGAAGCGGTGGGGAGCCTGACGGAGGGGAAGGTGCCCCCAAGGACGAAGAATGTGTACGGGAGGAGGGCCCTGTGGAGAGATTGTGTCACCCCCTGAGCTCCCCTTCCCCCTGCCCCCACTGCGGGAGTGCCCTGGTGGAGGTGGGGAGGCACTTCTGCGGGGGCAGGCAGTGCGTGCCGGGCTAGAGTGATTCATTTCAGACATCTGTAGCTCAGAGGTGGGCTTAGTGGGGATCTCTTGCTAGGCCTGGAGAAGGGGGAGGGTAGATGATGCCAAGCCAAATTGAGGTGGGGGCAGAGGAAAGTAGTGCCGGGTACTCTGGAGTTCCACTTTAAGCACCTCCGAGTGTCAAGCACTGAGCTAGGTGGAGGGGAGACAAATCTAAAGTAAGGTCCCTGTTTCCAGGAGCTTCCAGCTCGGTTGGCTTGCTGTGTTGGGAATGTGTTTCCAGTAGGGCTGATCAAGTCCTCTTTATCCTTGTACAGTGACTGCCAGCCCCTCAGGGTCTCTCAGGACCTCCAACTGGGTCATTTTGAACTGCTCCTTCACCCGCCCTGACCGTCCAGCCTCTGTGCACTGGTTCCGGGGCCAGGGCCGAGTCCCTGTCCAGGAGTCCCCGCATCACCACTTAGCCGAAAGCTTCCTCTTCCTGCCCAAAGTCGGCCCCCTGGACTCTGGGCCCTGGGGCTGCATCCTCACCTACAGAGATGGCTTCAATGTCTCCATCATGTACAACCTCACTGTTCTGGGTAACTCCTCCACTCTGCCTTCACAATTGACCACAACCCCTTCCTGCCCCCTGTCACCTCCCCTGACTTCTGGGTCCCCAAACCAGATTCTCAGCAGCTAGTGCTGCCTGTCATTAATTGCTCTGGGCCTGTCTGACCCCTTTCAGCTGCCCTCTCCCCTTCCAGCTTTTCCCCTGGCCTCCCAGCCTCACTGTCTCCCGCTCCCACTGGCCCAGCCCACTTTCTGGGTTTCTGAGTATCTTTGGTTCATCCACCTTATTCTGCTCCTTAGCACTCTTCAGAGCCAGACCACCTCCTTCACTCTTCTGCCTCCCTCCCCTGCAGTCCCAGGCTCCAACCCCACTGCACCCCCACCCCAGCTTTAACTTTGCATTCTCTTTTCTCTGCAGGCCTGGAGCCCCTGGCCCCCTTGACAGTGTACGCTGCAGCAGGTTCCACAGTGGAGCTGCCCTGCCGCCTGTCTCCTGGTGTGGGGACCCGGGCTTCCCTCACTGCCAAGTGGGCCCCTCCTGGGGGAGGCCCTGACCTCCTGGTGGCTGGAGACAATGGCAACTTTACCCTTCGACTGGAGGCTGTGAGCCAGGCCCAGGCTGGGACCTACAACTGCTGCATCCATCTGCAGGGACAGCAGCTCACTGCCAGTGTCACTTTGGCAGTCATTACAGGTCAGCTCCAGGTGGGAAAGGAATAGCTCCCATCCCAGGGGAGCAAGGTCAGGGAGGGACAACTGGCTGGGCCATGACTGGGCAAATCTACTCCATGATGCCAGGCCACTGAGCACAAGTTCCAGAGGCTGCCCGTTGCGTTCTCCTCTTTTCTCACCCCCATTATAAACAACTGAAACTGAAAATCTCCCCTTGAGTCACAACGTAAATGTTCCACTGTTCTCTCCGGGACTCCCCTGCTCTGAATTGGCTGGAAGGTCTGGAAAGTTAGAAGGAGAGGTGACAAAAATTTGAATGGTTCAAGAAAGGTGGAATATATTTGTAGAATCTTTGTCTACTTTGGGGCCAGAGCTTGGGTTAAAGTTGCAGGAAGTGGCCTAGATTTGGGAGGAGTTAAATAAATCAGTCCCGTGGTCAGCAAATATTTACTGAGCAAGGGTTTTCCAAGACAGTATAAAACAAATACGGAAACAAGAATAGTCAGAAAGTATGTGTTGAATGATTGGTAACTGTCAGCCATGACAGATTAGCCATGTCTGCAGCACTCACCTGTGGCCACTAAATAGTAACACCACATGGTAGGTGCTTAATAATGTATATCGAATGAATAAATGAACATGCTAACAGATGATACATCTCCTGAGGGCCAATCCTGAATTTCTACCCACTTTCTGGATAGCTCTACCTAGATATTATGCCACCCCTCAGCCTCACCCTGAACCCTGTCTTTTCCTCACACCAATCCCGTCAGTAAGTAACTCCGTGGGTATCCCACTGACCCTGAAACCTGGCCTCCCCATCCTCACATCAGCTCAGTCACCACAACCCACCAGTTCTCTCAGTCCAGTGACTTCTTGAGGGTCAACTGCTCCGTGTACAACAACTCTATGGAAGAGATGTTGTTACCCCTGTTTTAGGGAGAAGCAACTTTCTCAAAGTCACACAGCTGGGCAATGCCAGACTCAGGGTCTGCACTCAGGTGTCTCTGTCACCAAATCTTCACTCTCCCCGTACACCACTCTCAGTCAGATCAAGGCCCTGCACCCTTTGTCTCCTCCCACCCACCTATTTCTCACTCTACAACTTCGAGAATGTTCTGTCTCTACACCAGTGGGTCAGTTCACTGTTCTATACTTTCAGAAAGTGGGATAAATTCATTCAGGGGGCACCGCAAGGCAGACGCACTGGTGCGAACCATGTGATGGGAGTGGGAAAATTGTGAGGTAGATTGGGGCCAACGCATCTGACCGATATTGAGGGTTCTGGGCATTTGCGTAGAAAGGAAGGTAAAAGAAGCTGAAATAGTATTTCTTATGTGGCCCTTCAGGGCCAGTTTGAGTGTGAACAATGTCCTAAAGGCAACAGGGAGCCCAGAAAGTTTTTGAGCAGGGGAGGGAGCTGACCAGAGCATTGTCTTGGTAAGATTAATTTGGCCATGACCCCTGATGCCCTCCCCCCAACCCCACCCAATCGGAACCCAAGTGAGTGCAGGGTGATTGAGACCAGGGATTGAACCTGTGCCACCAAGCAAGGGGGCTGGAACCCCAAAAGATCTCTTCCTTCTAATTTTTTCAGTGACTCCCAAATCCCTTGGGCCACCTGGCTCCCCGGGGAAGCTGCTTTGTGAGGTGACTCCAGCATCTGGACAAGAGCGCTTTGTGTGGCAGCCCCTGGACAACCCGTCCTGGGGGAGCTCCTCAGGACCCTGGCTGGATGTGCAGGAGGCCGGGCTCCATTCCCAGTCCTGGCAATGCCAGCTGTACCCAGGGGAGAGGCTCCTAGGAGCAGCGGTGTACTTGCCAGAGCTGTCTAGCCCAGGTCTGAGGCCCCAGTGTGTCACAGCCCCAGCTCCAGAGCAATCACCTTGATCCCCTTTCCAGAACACCCCCCACCAGCCCCCATCCCAGTGCTTTTCTTTCCAGTCAGGGACCTGACCTTGAGCCCTTGTCTAGGACTGACCCGCTTCTACCACTAATTAGCTGAATGACCCTGGACAAGTCCCTTAAACTCTCTGGACCCCACTGCGTGTATAAAGTGTGAGGAGGTAGCAGCCCTGACCCTGTGCCTAATCCTGTACTTTCTTCATAGGTGCCCAGCACTCTGGCAGAGTGCCAGGTACCCTCCACACAGGTCACCTCCCTCTCTTTCTTGTCCTGGGTATCCTGTGTCCACTCCTTTTGGCGACTGGAGCCTTTGGCTTTCATCTTCGGCGAAGGCCGGTAAGCCAGGGACACGTGCTTCCCCAGCTGCCTGCCCCTCTTCTCGATCCCCAGAGTGCTGTCTGGCACCCTTCCTCAGGAAGATGACCAACGGGGATCCTGGACTTGCCTTCAGAGTGTCCCTCTTCATAAGCCTCTCACTCCAGGGACCCCGTGTGCAGGCGGGAGGCTTGAAGGGGCTGAGAGAAGGCCGGGACCAATGGGGAGGTCAGGAGGGCTGAGAAAAAACAGATGCACTCAGCGTCCTTCCTCCTCCCACCTCCGTCTCTCTCTGCATCTCTTCCCACAGTGGCGACCAAGAAGATTTTCTGCCTTAGAAGATGGGATTCACCCTCCTCATGCTGAGAGCAAGTTAGAGGGGCTGGAGCAAGAACCGGAGCCTGAGGCTGAGCCCGAGGCCGAGCTGGAGTCGGAGCCAGAACCGGAGCCGGAGCCGGAGCCGGAGCCGGAGCCGGAGCTGGAGCCGCTCTGACCTGAAGCTTAAACAGCCAGCAGATCTCAGCAGTTCAGTCCAAATAAACTCCCTGTCAGCAGCAAGCCTGAGTCTGACTTGTTCTTGTCCAGTGAAGGTTCCTGTCTCTCCCCAGCCTCTGGGGGCTCCCTTCTCCCACTCTAGCCTCCTAACCTACTTTCCCCAGCCAATCTCCCTCATCTTCCCCTTTTCTGTTTCTGACCGCTTTGTTTCTTCCTTGGTGTGTGTGTGTGTGTGTGTCTCCCCTGGGCAATCATTTTTCTGAAGCTCCAAAAATGCCTCGCCCCTTACCTCCGCAGCCCCCTCCTCCGTCTCCACCCACGGCGTGCTGGCTGCCCTGGTTTCCTTTATATTTTTGTCCCTCTGGCCCACCCCACTCCACGCTCCGCTGCACTTCAGCACTTGCCCTCGGCCCCCTGGCGGCAGCAGGTGCGCACACATGCCGGCATGCACGTGTGCACACACACACATGCACGCACAGCACACGGAGCCCTGCCATGCTAGGTCCTCCAGGAGATCCGGCAGCCAGTTGAGGTGCCTACCTCTGCCCCAGCCCCCACGTTCCTCAGTCCTCGGTGACTTTTCTGGTCCCAGACATGAGAACACACTGCCACCCAGTGGTCACTGCTTGTCACACCCCAGCGAAGGTCACTGGGTTAGCTGTGCCAGGCTCAAGGAAATTTAACACTGCAGTGGACAAGGTGGAGCACAGAGTGCGGTGTGTGTGGGCAGTGCCTTTGCACACTCTGTGTGCAGTGTATGAGTGTGCACCCAGTGGCTATCACATGTCCTGTGCACCCTTCAGGACAGGGCTGAACAATGCATGCCTCAGTAGATACAGCCCTGGCCCTGGCAAGGTTATGATCCAAGTGTGGCAAAGGGGAGCACTGTGAACAAAGGCCTAGGCGAGAACAGCCAGCCTGGCTGTTGCTGCAGTTGTGGGAGCCAGGAGCCCTAGCTTCTCATTCCAGCTCTGCTGATGCAAACGTAGCCAATCTCCCTGAGCCTCAGTTTTCTCACCTGTCTAGTGGGATAATGATAATAATCCACTAAAAGGGGTTGTTGCACATATCAGATAATAAAAACGCTTTGGCAATGTGTGGCGTACTGGTCTGATTACCCATTAGTGAAGGAAGAAGCAGCCTGCTCTGGTCATGCTAATAATGATATTAAAGACCCCGAGCCCACCTGTGCCCCTCTCTGTCTGCCTCTCATGGAGTGGGGATCCACCTGGGCCATGGTGATGGCCCTTTCAGCAGAGCACACATGGCCTCAGCAGCACCCTCAAGTCCGGCAGAGGGACAGAGACCTCCACCCGCAATGGTGTGGGTCCCTGTACTTCGGCCACAGATGGCTCTGCCAGGGGACCTGACCCTGTACAGGAGGACAAAATCCTGAAAGCAAGTGGCGGAAAGCCTGCCGAACAGGAGGTGCATGGTGGCACGTGCACATGGTGTCCTACTGGGCCCGTGTGCTGTGCACAAAGTGACACAGAGAGACAGACCATGAGGCTGAAGACCTGTCCCTGTGAAGACCAATGGTCAGGGGCTTAGGGACAGACGATGGCGAGGGGACACCACCTTTGCTCTGTGCAGAGCCTTAGGGAGAGAGGGGCACCCTCTGAAACCTGCATAGTGAACCATTGAAGGCAATCTGAGGAGCCTTAGGATGGTGGTGACTCTTGCCTTGTCACAGGTCGAAAAACAGTAGCACCAGAAAGAGGAAGCTCTGGCACTTGCTAGGGATGATCGCACTGTCAAGTGAAGTCCTGAAGTCCCTTTAGAAGCCTCCAAACATCACTCCCACCCTTCACTGTGGGATGGGGACAGCTGCTGAGGAGACTCCTCAGCTCCCCCCCAGGACCCCCCTCTCCGCAGCCTTAGTGAAAGCCCCCATGTTTTAGGAGGGCAGGGGTTTCCTGGAAAGTTCTGTGGGTGGCGTTTTTCCTTTCTACTAGATAACACCCTATGCCCTTTGGGCTTATGAGAGTAGTCACTGAAGAGTCACTAGGGCCTGTGCAGGGACTTCCCCGTGCTCTTTCATGTAGGGGACAAGGAGGGGACAGGGACAAAGTGAAGCACCATCTTGTTCCTCCACCCTCTAGAGAAGTGAAGAGCAAAGGCAGGAGGAAGCGGGCCATGAGAGCTGGTGCATAGAGTGCTTTTCTGTGGGATCTCTCCTGAGGTGACACTCCTGCTCCCAGTCCTGTTCCCACAGAGCCCCACTCCCCAGCCAGCAGGATGACCTCCAGCCCTTTTCCTGTCCTCTAAAGGCCACCAGGAGGCTTGGTTGATTTGCTGGGTGACTCCAAGTTTATCTGTATACCAGCGATCCAGGCTGGGGTCCCGGCAGGGAAGGGGTGTCAGGTGGCGGGAGCTCAGGGAGCTTCAGCAAGTGGGTGGGTGCATGGGTGGGAATCATCTCAGGTCCTCGAAAAGGAAGGGGCGTATAGGAGTTATTTATTGCTGCACAACAAATCACCCCCAAATTAGTAATTTAATGGGTGGGGGGAAAATTAGTAATTTAAATTAATAAACGTATTGTCTCACATGGTCAGGAATCCAGGAGCACAGCTTAGCTGAGTAGTTCTGGGACCTCTTAAAAGGTTGCTGCCAAGATGTGGGCCAGGGCTGCAGGCATCTGAAGGCTGGGCTGGGCTGGAGGATCTGCCTCAAGACAGCTCACTCAGCTGGCTGCTGGCCAAGGCCTTAGCTCCTCCCAACGTGGGGGGGGTGTCCATCTTGCAGCCTGACCTGGAAGAAAGGCCAAAGGGGAGGGACATCTCTGAGGATCCCCAACCCTATGATGGGCCTGACAGCGCCCCCCATTGTTGGCTACCCAGAAGTTCCGGAGGCCAAATGAGGTCTAGGGCCTTGGCAAGTCAAGTGTGCCAGGCGAGAGGTCATACTGTGCCCTTGAGGCCTGTGGTCCCATTTGCCAGGGCTCCCCCACCCTGACCTGGTCTTCTCCGCTCCACGGGGCAGGGCAGGGGCCTGTGTAACCCCATAAAGTTCCCTGACCCACCGCCCCTACCAGGCAGAGGTGCTGGGATTCAGGCCTGAGCCCCTGCTGCTACCCGCCCATCAAAGGAGGCAAGCAAGGAGCTTAGGGTTCCCCACGCAGGCCCAGCCCAAGGTGGAGTTCCTCCTTTGAAGAGAATGGGGTTTGGGGTGGGGACAGGTTCTATCTGCTCTGCTATGTGGCTGACAGTTTCTCCAAGGGGCTGCAGGTGTCAGCTGGCTGAGCTCAGGCTGGGCTCTGAAATGTGCCCACTCAAACCTCCCATGGGGTGGGGGAAGCCCAGGGACCACCCTCTGAGAGTGACAGAAAGTGGTACTAGAGCCAGGGGAAATGTGGCTGGGGTAGAGATGGGCTCTGCCCTCTTGGACTCTGCTTCCCAGAGAACAGCCCCAGAGACCCCTCCCCCATTCCCCACCCCAAGCCCTGCCCCCAGTCCCCTTGGCAGAGGGTGTCAGTGCAGCCAAAGATGCTTCTGGTAAGGAGGCCACCGCAAGGTTGCACCTGGGGCTTTCAACTTTCCTACAACACTGGCTGCCCTACAATCACCTGGTCTCCAGCGCTATGCCAGAAGCCTCTGATGCTAGCTTCACCCTGTGCCCCCAACTCTTTCTCCCTGCTCGGCCCCTTCCCCCTCCTCCAGCCTGGAGACCCAGCATTCATGCAGCAAAAATAGCTCTCGACCAGGAACCAGAAGACCCCTGGAAATCCCGCGGTCCATGCTTTCAGTCATGATGGGGCAGATGGCTTAATCTCAGTTTCTTCTTCTGTAAAATGCCTACCAGAAAAGCTCTGGCATGTGCAAACGTATGTGCGGGTGCTCTGAACACGCACAAGCATCCTGTGGCTGTGAGGATCGTGGGGGTGCTAAGCCTCACAGCCCCCCCTTGCTGTGGGAGAACACTCCTCTGCACCGTGGCGATGGCCCTTCCTAATGCAGAGGACAGGCAGTGCCACGAGGGGGACAATCCAGGTAATGGGGGCCAAGCGGGTAAATTCAAATCCCAGTTCCACCAGTTATGGTTACTCGCTCTGCGACCTTTAGCAATTTTTAAAAACTCTTCGAACTTCCGTTTCCTCATCTGTATGGTCTGGAGAACACTACCTATGCCCTATCATTCTTGCGAGGATTAAATAAAAGACACACCACATAAAGCACACGGCAATTCTAAATGGTCACTATAAATGCGAGCTCTCTCTTCCTCTTTCCTTTCCTATGTGGAAAGCCAGAGGGAGCGCCAGGTTCTTGGGGCTGCTGACTCCCAGGGGCCCATCTCCACAGGCGGTCACAGGCCACAGCCCCAGAGAGCTGGGAGGCCTTGCACAGTCCATCCGGTCCATAGATTGCAAACCGGTGGACCTGAAGGTAGAGCCAGCCCTTCGTGTGCTTTGTTTGATTTACCCAATGTTAAACAAAATCATTGCCAACATTAAAATGAGGAAATATTACATAAATGTCTGGTTTTCCACCTTCTTGCAAAATTTTGGCATAGCTGGCAACTCCACGTTCGCATGCTGGTACAAGCTCCACCATCCAGTCGGCCCGAGCCGCCCTTATGGGATGCTGCTGTGCTCACCAGTCTACCTGAGCCCCCGCCGCGCCCTCCTGCTCACAGCCCACCTGCTTTTCTATCCCATTACCTAGCAGGCTCCGGTTTCAATCTGTGGCCCCGTCCCCCTGCTCTAGTCCAGACCTCTTCATTCAAAAAGTATTCAGGGCCGGCGCGGTGGCTCACGCCTGTAATCCCAGCACTCTGGGAGGCCGAGGCGGGCGGATTGTTTGAGCTCAGGAGTTCGAAACCAGCCTGAGCAAGAGCGAGACCCCGTCTCTACTAAAAATAGAAAGAAATTAATTGGACAACTAAAAATATATAGAAAAAATTAGCCGGGCATGGTGGCGGGAGGCTGGGGCAGGAGGATCGCTTGAGCCCAGGAGTTGGAGGTTGCCGTGAGCTAGGATGATGCCACGGCACTGTAGCCCG